AAATGGGCATATAAAACTCATGGAGAACTCAGCAAAAACAGACCGTAAAACTCGAGCCAACAAACGTCAACCACAAGATGAGACTCGTAAAAATAATTCGAGGCTCGATTCAACAACTCAACACAAAAGAGAGTTCCAAATCCACGATATATCCACAAGGTAACAAACGGAGACGATCCGAATATAATACGATTTAAATACAAAACCAATAAATCGAGATCCAACTCGAAGATCAACATAATAGGATTAAATAAGAAAGTTCAAGCCAAAATACCCGTCTCCAAGGAATCTACACGCGAAGGTCGGCCGGGTCGAATGAACGAAAGAAAGAATCGACACCTCGGCTACTCGCGTGGCTATTCCGACTTCGAGGACGGCTGCCACTCGCTGAGATGGTTCTCATACGAACCACTGTTCCTTGGCCCAGGGACTGCTGGAAGTCGACGGCGACACCCGTCTGAATGGGTTGACTCTGTTCGCTGAAAAGGAGCCCGAGATAAAACTTCCGCTGTTCGGATTCGTCTTGAAGAAACCGCTACAACCGGCTTAACGGATTTTGAAAATTCGAACAGGGCTTGACTACTAAGTACCTCTCGATGTGAACGAACAGAAAGAGGGCCGCTGTTGGTCGGAAAATAAACCGACGGAACAGGCCGCCGCTGCTCGAACGTCCGGTATGCGCGATCTCAGACGCCTGGAACTCGTCGGACTGGTGCTGCTCTCGCCGGAAATCCTGTCGCTGAGGCTTGGTGCTCTTGCCGTTGGATGGCCGGAGGTCAGAGTTTGAAGGGATCGCGGCTCAGTTGGGCTAGAGGTCGGAGGTTGGATCGCGGCTCGACGTCGGGAATAGATCCTCCGCTGCTGCTCGTTCTCGGTTCACCTACCTCGCGTCGCCGGTTGTCTTCCGGCCGAAAGGAATTTCGAAGGGACGATTGCTACTCAATCGAGAGGATATGAGGCGAGGGTATGAGGGCTTCGATCAATTTTAAAGGTGGAGGGCTGAATCTGTTGCAGCTGCTCGAAAGAATCGGGGAGAACTCCTCCCGTCGCTGCTGCAGAATCGCGGAGACAGAGAGATCGGAGAGGGAGAGAAACCGAGAATTTTGGGGAAACGTTAGGCCTGCTGCTTCTTATCTAGGTTGAGAGAGAGAGACGAGATTGAGAGACGTGGGGGAGAATTTTAAGGGAAAATCGCAACAAAAATTTGAACGGCAATGAAGAAGAAGACTCGATCCAATCTCCTGGGAAAAGAAAAGAAAGGGACGCAGACATTTATGGGCCAAGGGATTTGTTCAAATTGGGCCAAAATAGAACAATTAGGTTGGGCCAGAAACATTAAACCACAAATGGAGCTGGATATATCAGATAAATTGGGTCAAAATTATTTAGCTCTTATGGGCCGAAAATAATAATGCTCGATTTTGGGTTCTCGGGCTCGATTTATTCCGACAATAAAACTAGCTCAATTGATCGCACGACAATTAAAATAAAATTCGGATAATATTTATATATATAATACACACAGTAATATAATAATAATAATAATAATAATAATAATAATAATAATAATAATAATAATAATAATAATAATAAGAAACATTTAGGCATTTAAAGATAATTAGGCATCTAATAATAATAATAATAATAATAATAATAATAATAATAATAATAACAACAATAATAATAAATAATTCAAAAATAAACGGGGCGCTACATTAATATTGTTTAAAAAATGGGTATTGGCACTTGGAACCTGGGCGAAAGAAAATATCCAAGTGAGTTCTTTATTGGCCTTATTGCTTTTAAAATTTTTCTAATGTGTCATTTAGGATAAATTATATCTAAGTGAGTTCTTTATTGGCCTTTGATATAGCCACATAAGGATAACCCGGTCCGGAAGCTCCTTACTCAACCAGCAAACCACTCGAATTACTCGCATGTCGACATGACTCCGTCGACATGCCCAAATCGACTTCCCTAAGGTCGATTCTACTAAGAGCAATCAAGAAGAAGCAGAGATTGATCTAGTCGACTCTCGCAAGTCGACCTTAATCTATCGACTTTCACTAATCGACATCAATGAAAGAGGAACAGCAAGAGTACAGCTCCCGGTCATCCAGATATTCTAAGTCGACTCCCAGAAGTCGACTGAACTAAGACGACTCTCTGAAGACGACTTCGCCTCAAAGAACTAGTCAAGCGTAGCCTCCGAATCCGCACATATCCACGAGTCGACTTCCTAGATCTCTAAGTCGACCTCACATACCTTAAATAACAAAGACGTGATGACGATTCACCACACTTGCAACATATCCGAAGCCCTCCACATTAGGAAGGATAGGAAGGAATCTTGTGATGACTCAGCAATAAGGGAAGACGAATCGACCAGGGCATTTTGGACCTTTTAGGTCCACAGACTTGGGCATTTTGGGCACTCCACGTAAGTATTCACTCCTATATAAAGGAGGTGAGGTTACCCTAAACCCTAACTCTCATTCATTCCCACTCTCCCTATAGTTGCTGCGCAGCCCTCCTCATCACTCACATACTGACTTGAGCGTCGAAGGCTCTACGCCGGAAACACCTCCGGCGTTGAGTTTTTGCAGGTATTCTCGCGGTCTAGCAACGATTTAGAGGCGGTTCAAGCAGATCTGAGCTCATAACCACCGGTTTACTCCAGATCTGGAAGTAGACCCATCATTTGGCGCCGTCTGTGGGGAGTTCTTGAAGGAAGTAAGAGCTTCGCACCTAGCTCCGATCTGTTTGCTGATGGCGGAGAAGGAAGGCTTGCAGAGGAACTTGAGCGAGGAGTTTAGAGGGACGTGGATGGACAAGAGGCCACCGCCGCTCTCCACCACCAAACACCCTGTAATGCAGATGATGGGAATGCCACCTTTCGGAGGACTTCCACCACCAGGACTGACGTTGGGCGGAGAAATGCCTGTGACTCCAACCGGCGTAAAGCTACAAGTGTTGACCCAGGCAGGAACAAGTCAAAACCCTAACCCAGATGGGGAGAAGGAGCCAACGGAGGTCTCTCGACGTGAGGGAAAACAGATACAGGAGGTTCCGGAACAGACACAACCCCGCGTCGAGGAACAGACTCTGACAATGACGAGGAGTGAGATGCAAAAGATGATTGCTGAAGCCGTGGCGGCCCAGATGAAGTAGATAGCGCCGGTAGAACAGCAGTCTCGAGTCGAGTGCCCACCTCGAGTCGAGCACCAGCCCCGCGTCGAGTACCCCCCTCGAGTCGAGCAGCAGCCGCGTGGCGAGCAACAAGCCCTGTCGAATGTACAACAGAACAGAAGGGTAGATGAAGAGGAATCTTCCATTCGAACTGTTAATCCACAGGCGAGGGACGAAACGTTAGAGCAACTGCTGGCACAGGTTCACGACTTGCAAGCTCGAGTCGACGGGAGGAATAGCAGAGAAGCAAAAGAACACCCATTCTCACAGCAGATCCTAAGAGCCGACTTACCCAAAGGCTTCAGGGAGTTGAACATATGGTATGACGGTACCACAGATCCATCTCGACATCTGAGGAGTTTCGAAAATATGGCAGTACTGCATCGCTACAGCGACCCCGTGCAATGTCGCGCTTTCTTGACGACTCTGACAGGGTCGGCCCAGGACTGGTTTCATCAATTACCGGCCGGGTCGATTAGAGATTTTGACGGTTTTAGCTCGAGTTTCCTTAACCAATTTGCAAGTGTGAGGGTGCAAGAGAAATCCTATCTCTCGTTGATAAGTATGCAGCAAAAGAAGGGAGAGTCGCTGCGAGAGTATGTGGCGAGGTTTACAAAGGCATGTGTCGAGTGCCTAACAGCGACAGAGGAAATCAAATCGGGAGGACTGACGAGAGGGCTACTGCCAGGGTTATGTAAGAACTCTTTGGCCAAGCGACCTGGTAGGAGTTTCGATGACATGTTGGGAAGATGCGCCAAATATATGAATGTCGAGGAGGCCGAAGCCGATTATCTGCAAAATGTGAAAATACCCCAAACTGACAGTCGAGACGATAAGAAGGAGAAGAAAAGCCAGTCGACAGGGGAAAGAGGGGGATCACCACGAGCTGACAAGGGTGAAGGACGATACAGAGGATGGAGGCCGACTCAATACATACCCCTGTCGGCTCCTCATGCAAGAATACTGGAAGTCATGGAAAGAGAGATCCGTGACGATGTGGTGTGATGGCCACGAACAAGGAAAGATGGGCCAGTAAGGCCCAAGAGTAATTTATACTGTCGATTCCACAAAGATTACGGCCACGACACTGATGACTGCAGACACCTTAAAGACGAAATCGAAAGGTTGATAAAGGCAGGACACTTGAAGGAGTTCATATACAAAGACCGTGAGAGGTCGAGCAAGAGGAGAGAGAGAAGCAAGAGCCCTCGCAAGAGGGAAAGATCACCAGAGAGAGAGGAGCTCCCACAAAAAAGGGGAGTAATTAATATGATTTTTGGAGGGTCAACAGACGGGGACTCGAACCGAGCAAGGAAAGCGTATGCTCGAGGTCGATATGCAAAGTTCGAAGTGCAGCAAGTCGATGAATGCGGACCAGTAATGAACTTTGGACCTGCGGACGTTGGAGAAGTCGAGAGACCACACAATGATGCCCTAATGATAACCGCACAGATATCAGGATACGAGGTGCAAAGGGTGTTCGTCGACACCGGAAGTTCTTTAAACGTGATTTTCTATGAATGTCTCAGAAGGATGGAACTCGACATTGAACTTACGCCTCTACAAACATCACTCTTTGGATTTAACGGATCAGAAGTCGCTCCCCTTGGAGAAACAACGCTCGCCGTCGTCCTGGGGGAAGGCGACTTGAGAAAGGTAAAAATGGTGAAATTTGTCGTGGTCGACGTCGAGTCAGCGTATAACGTAATCCTCAGGAGGCCGGCGCTCAATGCCTTCCAAGCGGTGGTGTCGACTTATCACATGAAATTGAAGTTTCCCGTTGGAGATCGAGTGGGAGAGGCTCGAGGGGACCAAGAATTGTCCAGAACATGCTATCGGATCGCGGTCAAAACTAACCAACGGGCTGAGATCAAGGAGGGGAAAAAACCAATGTCGAATGAAAAGAGGCCGAGAGAGAGTGACCTCGAGCCCATGGAGAGTTGATGGAAATTCGAATAGGTGAAACGTAGGACCAGACGACCAAACTCGACAACTCCCACGATCCTGGCACGAGATCCATCTCAAACGCTTTTACGCTTAAGGCAATGTCTCAAACTACCCTTTGTACTGAACGATGTTTGAATTGAAATTCAATAATGGAATGAATCTTAAAGCTTATGCTTCAATTACGTTTTTTATATTTATGCGTCGTCTTTATTATGATTACATGAAAAATTGAATTTTTCAAAACGGCTATAAAGCCGGCTAACTCCAATGATTATGAAATCATTTAGCACAACTACGAAGTTGTAAACTCTCGAGCAGAATCTCGAACAGGCTACGAAGCCTTCGACTATGAAGTCGATTCGCGCAACTACGAAGTTGCAAACTCTCGAGCAGAATCTCGAGCAGGCTACGAAGCCTTCGACTACGAAGTCGATTCGCGCAACTACGAAGTTGCAAACTCTCGAGCGGAATCTCGAGCAGGCTACGAAGCCTTCGACTACGAAGTCAATTCACGCAACTACGAAGTTGCAAACTCTCGAGCGGAATCTCGAGCAGGCTACGAAGCCTCCGACTACGAAGTCGATCAACACAACTACGAAGTTGTAAAATTCTCGAGCGGATTCTTGAGCAGGCTGCGAAGCCTTCGACTACGAAGTCGACCAACACAACTACGAAAGTTGTAAAATTCTCGAGCGGAATCTCGAGCAGGCTATGACGCCTTCGACTACGAAGTCGATTAACACAACTACGAAGTTGTAAAATTCTCGAGCAGAATCTCGAGCAGGCTATGACGCCTTCGACCACGAAGTCGACTAACACAA